CCTGAAGGTGAGTAAACTTTAAGCAAATTAGCATTTTTGGGTGAAGTATTTCTTTTGAAATGGATAGGATAGTATCCAATGGTTTAGGATTGGTTCCAAATTATGACACCTGTTCCATTAGGAATCCAGTGCACGTTTCTTCTGGATGTGTAGACTAGGGTTTGGACAGCAGTTGTGCAGATATCATATTTGATATGCATGCCTTTAAACACTAGCACTTTAGTGCATGTACTCAGACGCTGTTGTACCTTGTGATAAAGCTCATGATGTAAGCCCACACACACACACACACACTGCCGTTCACCGTGTGTGGCGGCTCGTGTCATTTTCGTTGCCATTGAATTTGCATTGACACAATTAAGAACTCTTTTTAAGCCCATTATTGTACCTATTAACTGGTCTTTGTATAGATGTTATTATGAATTCAGATCTTTCTTTGGAGGAAAAAAGACAAAAAAATTATTAATGTTTTAAATGAAGTCACTGTCAGATGTCTAATGATAGAGTGTTAAATTGGTAATAAATTGAATGTGTATTTACAAAAAATAATGTTTATGGATTTATTTATTTCATATATATAGTGTGTTTTTTAAAGAAATTAATACTTTAATTCAGCAAGTATTTATTCATTACATAGTTTATAAAGTGAAAGTAAAGACATTTAATGTCTTTTTGTTATGAAAGATTTCCATTTCAAAAATGCTGTTCTTTTGAACTTTCTATTCATCAAAGAATTCTGAAAAAAAGCATCACATTTGTCAGAAGAATACTGGGCAGAAAAACTGTTTTCAACACTGATCATAACCAAAAAAATTTTCTTGCGCAGCAAATCAGAATATTAGAATGATTTCTGAAGGATCATGGGACACTGAAGACTGGAGCAATGATGCTGAAAATTCAGCTTTGATCTCAGGAATAAATTACATTTTAAAATATATTCAAATAGAAAACAGTTATTTAAATTGCAATAATATTTCACAATTTTAGTGTTTTACTGTATTTTTGATCAAACGCAGCCTTGGTGAACAGACTGAAGAGACTTCTTTCAAAAACATAAAAAATTAATTGTAACATTAATTGTATATGTCTAAATTAATATGGTATAGAAAGCCTGGTATTATTTGTTGGAACCTATTTCAGAGAGAACTGCTAGAGAAACTGCTGATAGTTGCAGGTCATAAAATGAGCAGAAAAGCTTAAAACTTTCAAAGACGGTTTGAGGACATGAGCGTGTGGATGACAGCAGGTCAGTGATCTGCAGGCATGGGGTTGCTGTAAGGAGATTTCCCAGGACTCTCAAATCCTTTCATTTCAGTGTAACACACAGTGTCGAGTGTGAGTTTGTGCAGTTGAGATTAAAGCGGCAAGTGCTGCTTCATTATAAACTCACAGACTCAGAGGAGGATCACATCAGGTGCTGGAGGGGAAGGTCACGGCCTGTATTATATTACTCTAACAGCACCTGAGAGATAAATGAGGCTTTGGACTGTTACATAATCACTGCATCTGGACATCAGGAACTGCTGATACAAGAGAACACAAAGGTGACATTTATTAGGATTTTTATGTCCTTTTAAAGGAATAGTTCACCCCAAAATGAAAATGTCCTCACCCTCAGGCCATCCAAAATGCAGATGAGTTTATTTGTTCATCAGAACAGATTTGGAGACTTGCTCACCAGTGGATCCTCTTCAGTGAATGGGTGCCGTCAGAATGAGAGTTCAAACAGCTGATAAAAACATCACAATAATCCACACCACTCCAGTCCATCAATTAATATATTGTGCATGTTTGAAAGAAACAAATCCATCATTAAGCTGTTGTTAACTTCAAACTGTCACTTCCAGCTAAATATGAATATGATATTGCTTTCTTGTCTGGTCTGAATCAGTAGAGAAATATGCACAGATCAAACACTGTTTACAAGCAAAAACAGTCCAAAACACCTCTAAACAAATATGTGTGTGTGGATTTTGATGAGAGAGGACAACAGGAGATGGACTTTTCCCCTGGGGGAAGCGTTATTATGGATTATGGACTCATATTTTGGCCAGAAGTGACCGTTTAAAGTTAAAAATATCTCAGTCTTATACTATAGCTGTAATGCTCGCCTTAGGAAACAGTGCTAATAACTGACTGCAGACTGATTGTTTTGTTGCAATGTCACTGGAAATGGATTAGAGATCTCGTTTGAGTCTGTGCTTGACTCTTGGGTCCTGATAAGAAAATGACTGTGATCTCATTCCAAAAATCCGTCTGTTGATCTAATTGTCCTGTCCGTGTGTTTCAGATCCGCTGTGTACTTTTGTGTTTTGACTTTCACTGCTGCGTCAGCTAATCTTCGTCATCATGGTAATGGGTTTCCATGTCTGATCTTACACAAGCGTGAACATCTCCGTCCTCTCAGTGTCCTCCTAAACATTAATCTAATCTGTGTGGATGAGAATCTGTAATCAAATAAGTGATTGGATCTGTGGAGCTCTGAACCTCACGAGTGACATTCAGATGACTGCAGCTGTCAAAACAAACTACTATCAGCACCCATTCATATAGCTATATCTGTCTGTCCGTCTATATCTATCTATCACCCATCCATCCATCCATCCATCCATCTATCTATCACCCATTTCTACATCAATCAATCCATCCATCCATCTATCTATCCTATTATCCATCCATCATCCATCCATCCATCCATCCATCGTTCCTTTTATCTATCTATCCATCCATCCATCCATCCGTCCGTCTGTCCGTCTGTTTGGCCATTGCTTATTGTTGTTCTTTCTGTCTTTGCTTTCCTTTCATTTCTCTCTTTCATATAATTTCTCTCTATCAACACAGATTGGCAGAACTTTGAATGATTTTACAGCTGTAATTCAGTATAACAAAGTGCAAGCCAGTGTTTGTTCTTCTCCCAGCAGAAGGTGAAGAGTCTGCGACAGCAGATCTGGAGCCAGAAGACTTGAGTCTTGCAAGATGGTGTGTGTGTGTGAGCGGCAGATGGCACAGTCGTTGTCGGGCTGCTAAACCTTTGCACACTCTTGTTAAGATGAAGGGTCTTGCCAAGATTAATGTTGTCATGGTAACGGCACCACTGCAGCCCAAATAGATGTCATGATATTCAGATGCAGATTTTTCTCGTCTTGCATCTGTTTGTACAGTTATGTCAACTCAGTTTGCTTCATTCAGCCCTCAAGTGCATCCATAAAAACAAATATTGCACACAATGCAAAATTAATTTATATCCACCAGACCAGTAATGATGATATAACACTAACATTCTGTTACGATGTATGGTGTGTGTGTGTGAGCGGCAGATGGCACAGTCGTTGTCGGGCTGCTAAACCTTTGCACACTCTTGTTAAGATGAAGGGTCTTGCCAAGATTAATGTTGTCATGGTAACGGCACCACTGCAGCCCAAATAGATGTCATGATATTCAGATGCAGATTTTTCTCGTCTTGCATCTGTTTGTACAGTTATGTCAACTCAGTTTGCTTCATTCAGCCCTCAAGTGCATCCATAAAAACAAATATTGCACACAATGCAAAATTAATTTATATCCACCAGAGCATCAAGAAAATGTCTGTGATAAATCCTGGTAAACACATTACATAACAGTTCAATGTAATGATGATATAACACTAACATTCTGTTACGATGTAAAACTCTTAAGAAAAGACTTCTTATTTATAGATCTTATTTAAATCGTATGATTTTTTAAGCTCTTGTAATATTACACTGTTTCATGGAAGCATCTGTTGTGATGGAGCTTAAACAGGAAGAAAAAGGAGATGATCCGATCAGAGCTTGAAAAAACGATCTTTTGATAAAGAACAAAATCTTCCATTGCTTGTGAACATAGAAAGATTAAGATCTCAGCAGAACACAACAGGACAGAAGTGCTCGATGTACAGATAGAGAGGGGTCAAGGGTGTATTCTTCTCAACGATCCACAAGGGGGAGTGTGTGTGTGTGTGAGTGTGTCTATATGTTTGGCTATTTGTGAGGGCCATACATTTCGACCTAACAAATTAAGTGAAATTTTAAAAACTAGGATGGTATATGATATTGACGTGCTCTTTACTATTGAATAGCTCATAAATCAGTCAAATCATGTTTTACTTTAAATCTACTTTCAAATCGACAGGTTTGTTTTAGGTTAAGGTTTAGAGTTGGGGTTTAGCATAAATAAAATTATTCATTATTAAAATGTACCTTCTTTAATAAAAATAATGAGTAATGAAAACTTCAGGGAAAAATGACTCAAAGCAATCTCACATTAAACATATTAATAGTCATAAATATTTTGTTGTTGTTGTTAAAGGGGTCATTGGATGCCCATTTTCCACAAGTTGATATTATTTTTTAGGGTCTTAATGAAAAGTCTGTAACATAGTTTGGTTAAAATTTCTCAATGGTAGTTTTTGACAGTTTACTCTGTCAAAAACAGCTCTTTTCAGATCAAGCCGTTTTGTAGCATTTTCCTTTAAATGTTAATGAGCTCTGCTGACCCCGCCCCTCTCTTCTGAGGGACTGTTTACTTTAGCTGCATTCATCGTGAAAATTGCTAATTAGCACATTATTAGGAAAGGCGATTTGCAAAGATTCATTAAAAAAACCTTATACTCACTTCTTCTGGAGGTGAAGCTGGATCACGAATGATTCGCGCGAACATAGACGCATTTATGTAGATCGGGGGCGTATTCCCTTCAGAAACAAACGTGATTCACTGCGTCTTCAGCGGCTCAGATGACGCATTTATGTAGATCGGGGGCGTATTCCCTTCAAAAACAAACGTGATTCACTGCGTCTTCAGCGGCTCAGAGTGGATCTTTATCATTATAGGGTGGTTGTGTACACACACTGCCAACACACATTTCAGTTCAAACAACTTGTAAAAGTGCATGTAGCATCCGATGACCCCTTTAAAATATGAGCTTTATATACATATTTCAACAAAACTGGCAAAAACAACAACTTTTAATAAATGCAAATAACTAAGAGATATATGCTTTATTTCATAAAAACATAAAACAGAAAAGTGCAATTATTACTGTTAAACTACTTGGAACTAATATTTCTGTCAAAGTAGCATTAACAACTGGTTTTGTAAAAGCTTATTCATCCAGGACAAGACGCCATGAAAAAAATTGCACATTTCTCTAACAATTGTTTAATATCAAATAAAATTGGAAGAAAAAAAAACATAGTCAAGCCTGCAAGGTTCAAAGTTCAAAACGAAAATTTCTAATATTGCTGATCTCTTTTGAGAAATAAAATAACGAAGTGATTTTATTCTCCTGTTGTGTACTATAAAAATGGTTTAAATGATATGAAATAATTTAGTGAGAGAAACTGCAATTATGGATGCAATTAAAAGCAAATGTAAATACATTTTTGTGGCACTGAAAAACATCACAAACAAACCAAAAATATGTACATAATATATCCCCTGACAGAACAGAAAAAAAAGTCAATGAAACTCTGACTGAAGTGAGAAGTTTAGTGTCCAGAGGTGAGGTTTCATGAAACACTTCATTTAGTGATTGTTGTTTGTTTTACCTGATTCACGAAAGGAGTTACACCCCATTAGATGTGATCTAGGAGAACCAGAGCCCGTTCTAACCCAAACCCAAAGTCCTTACCACACACAAGGTGACACACAGAGCCATCAAAAGGGATGGATCATAGCTGAATTTACGCTGCCGCCTCACATCTTTGGCTGAACAGCACATCCACGACCTTGGGGTCAGCCAGGGTCGAAAGGTCACCCAGGTCTTTTTCATTGTGGGCGATTTGTCGCAGAACTCTTCGCATTATCTTACCTGCAGGAAGGGATGAAAAGCTTGAGTTTAGGATTGAAAGCAGAGATGTGGGTAGAAACTGAAAATGCAAGATCCCAGTACCTGAACGGGTTTTGGGAAGCCCTGGAGCGTTCTGGATGAAATCTGGGGTGGCGATTGGTCCGATCTTCTCCCTCACTGAATGAAAAACCCATGTTAGTAAGTGCGGAATAGATACAGATTGCATTTTCTGTCAGTGTTTAATGTGATCATGACCTCTGACCTTTTCTCTTTAGTTCCTCCATCAGCGTGCGGTTGAACTCTTTGTGGTCTTTCAGAGTGACGAAGCAGTACAGACACTCTCCCTTCACTGCATGAGGCCGACTGACCACCGCAGCTTCAGCCACCGACGGGTGTTCGGTCAGAGCCGCCTCCACCTCTGCTGTGCTCAACAAATGACCTGAGAGACGAGACACTGCTGTTCAAAAGTCTGGGGTCTGTATGATTGCTCTTTTAAAGAAATTAATACTTTTATTCAGCAAGGATGCATTCAATAGGTCAAAAGTGACAGTAAAGACATTCATAATGCTACAAAAGATTTCCATTTCAAATCAGTGCTGTTCTTTTGAACTTTCTATTCATAAAAAATCCTAAAAAAAAAAAAAATGTAACATTGTTTCCACCAAAATTTGAAGCAGCACAACTTTTTGCAACATTGATATCGGAAATGTTTCTTGAGCAGCAAATCAGCATATTAGAATGATTTCTGAGACTAATGATGCTGAAAATTCAGCTTTGATCACAGAAATAAATGACATTTTTAACATCTTTTCAAACAGAAAATAGTTATTTCGAACTGTAATAATATTTCACAGTGCTACTGTTTTTACTGTATTTTTGATCAAATAATTGCAGCCTTGGTGAGCAGAAGAGACTTCATCAAAAACATTCAAAAATCACAATGTTTCTAAACTTTTGACAAGTATATACTGTACTGCATATATATATATATATATATATATATATATATATATAAGCTGCTATCTAGTACTCTAAAAGATAACTAAAGCTATTTACTATTTTAATAAATGTCCTGTTCTGTGTTTTGCACATATTTTGTGTTTCATACATGTTATTTCACTTAGAAATATGCCATATTACAGACGTTAAAGCAACTGTATGAAGTTCTGCATGTAGTTTTATGTATTTTTGCGACTTTGAAGCCGCCTACAGTTAAATAAGTGGAATTCACTGTCGTCAATATAGCCTATTACTGTCGTAATTACAGTGGATAGCTGTACATGCACATTTGTTGCTGCCGTAAAGCGATCCGCTGTTTTCGTGGAATTTCGTACCCGCTCACTAAACTGACATGCTTCCAGAACAGACGTTTGGGAAAGAAACAGAAGCCATTCACCTTATTAGAAGCCAGTGTACCATCAGAATGATTTGAAAAGTGATATTTCAAGGTAATAAAACAAACGTCCAGTTGCTTTAAAAGCCTCTCGAATGCTGAGAAGGAATGAGGAAAATGAATATGCCGTCTCTAACCACCAGGTGACAGCACTGAAGCAGAATCTCAATCTCACCAGAGACGTTCAGCATGTCATCGATCCGGCCGGTGATCCAGTAATATCCATCCTGGTCTCGCCTGCAGCCTGAGGACAGAAGGACCCTCGGTTACAGTAACTGTTACATACTGCCATACGATACAGCAACAGCTCATGCTGTAAATAGTGACTGCTGAAGTTTGGTGACGCTGCTGAAACAGCCACATGGTGACTGGTAATGTATTAAAAACTGAGCACACATGACAAATACATATTAAGTAACTGCATGTTATTCAGTCAGATTGCTTTTTGGATGTAACCTGTAAAGTAGCGCATTACTTTATTTTTTTGTATGGAGTAAATGTGCAAGCAATGCATAATGCTTTGCATTTAACTGAGATGAGATACAAAAGTCCATATAAAATATGTTAATTGCAAAATTCATCATAATTTGTCGCTTTCATTAGATGTGATTTTAATTTGATTGCTTTCTGGAAGAAACATGTAAAGCAACCTTACATTTGGATTAACATCATAATACCTAAATTACTTTTTCTTAATTTGTAACTTGTCTGATATTTATTTAATTTATATATATATATATATACAGTGGGTACGATTTTTTTTTTTTTTTTTTTTTTTTTTCTGGAATAAATACATTTTATTTTTTTAAATAGATGTGTATGTGAACATAACACAGTAAGATTGGAATACATTTTGAAATATATTTTGGCCTATGAAATTTGAAACGTATTTTACTAAATGTGACCCTGGACCACAAAACCAGTCATAAGGGCCAATTTTTTGAAATTGAGATTTATACACACTAAGCTTTTCATTGATGTATGGTTTGTTAGGATAAGACAATATTTGGCCGAGATACAACTATTTGAAAATCTGGAATCTGAGGGTGCAAAAAAATCTAAATATTGAGAAAATCACCTTTAAAGTTGTCCGAATGAAGTCCTTAGCAATGCATATTACTAATCAAAAATTAAGTTTTGATATATTTACCGTAGGAAATTTACAAAATATCTTTATGGAACATGATCTTTACTTAATATCCTAATGATTTTTGGCATAAAAGAAAAATCTATCATTTTGACCCATACAATGTATTGTTGGCTATTGCTACAAATATACCCCAGCGTTTTGTGCTCCAGGGTCACAAATATACTTCACTGAGCATCACTGTTTACAACACATTATATATTTAACATATTTTGGCAAGAAACAAATATTTTTTTGCCATATGGATTTGCAGACATAAGAGAATGTAACACAAAATTCTATAAATTAGCAACAATGAATCATAATTAATCACTTTTGCAAAAATGTAACATTCCATTTTCAAAAATAGCATTCACCAACACTGGTTCTGATATGTTTGCGTTGCTACATTACCATCTCCTGTCACATAGAATCCTGGGAATTTTCTGAAGTAGGTGCTTTCAAAGCGTTCCTGATTCCCGTACACACCCCTCATGATTCCTGGCCAGGGCTTCCGGAAAACCTGAGACCAAAACATCCGTTCATGGTCAGAGAATAAACGCATGCAGTTTGGAAATAACAGCTGGGATAACTAGGATGAAAGTCTCACCAGGTATCCCTCCGCCTCGCCCTCTAGTTCTTCTCCATGTTCATTGAGAATGGCAGGCTGGACTCCAAAAAATGGGCACGTCTGCACAGAGAAGACACTTCAATATCAGAGTCATCCATCCCCATTTTTAACAGTTTCATAAGACGTAAGATGTAATACGTCAAGGTGATTTTCAGGAGACTCACAGCAGATCCAGGCTTCAGTGGTGTAGCAGCTGGAAGTGGAGTCAAAACATGGCCACCCTGCCGACACAACAAACGTATTATTAGTTGAGCATTAGTGAGTATTATGTGACATTTTATACAAGCAATAATGCACTTTGTGGTAAAATTCTGATTATAAAACGAATAGTTCTAGTCCTTGATTCTGATTGGTTGAGCCGCGTTCGAAGCTGTTGTAAATTACTCTACTTTGTTTACGTTTGTGTGTTGCTCGGCAACCACTTTGTTGCAACCACAACCGTTTCTGAGGAACTACATTGTTTGGCAGAAGAATAATGTTTTTATTATCATTACACTTTATTTGCTCTGTTTTATTTTGTGAAACCTTACTACGTATGTGGAATAACCGTTTTATAAAAGCAATAAGCCCCGTGAAGCCGTGGTTTACAGTGAATTTATAACAGCTAAGGGGGTTTTAGGCACTCCGCTCCACGTCGACGCCCCTTAGCTGTTATAAATTCACTGTAAACCACGGCTTCTTGGGGCTTATTGCTTTATTTTAACACAGTTAAAGGGGGTTTTAGGCAACTTTATTCAAAAAAAAACTTGTCTTGTTTGGTTTTGATAATTGTAAATGTTTTACCGTCTCTGTTTGCCAGAAGGTGTCAATAACCGGACAGCGCTGCTGACCCACAACATCATAATACCAAAGCCAAGCCTCTGGGTTTATGGGTTCACCAACCGTACCCAACACACGCAAACTGGACAGATCATACCTGACACAGACAGACACAAGATTACTCACATAACTAGTTTGCAATATTTGTAGCATATCTCAAAACAGACAAAAACCATCCATGTCTGAAGCACAAGCTGTATGTTGTGTAAAAAACAATATTTGCAGAAGGTATTTTTTCTAAAATAATTTCTGTCCAATAAGTGGCGCTAAACAGTCCCTGCACTATCACACCACTGAGAGATGACATGAATGTGCGAGTTCAACACTAACTATTCAACAACATCTCTACCAGGTCACCGCAGGACTAGCTTGACCTGTTGCAGTATCTTTAATGAGTCAAATAAAACATCCGGAGATTTGAACAGTGCTCAGTGATGGCTTTGGTTTTCTGAGGCCTCCAGCGCCCCCTGGAGGACAACCATTTGTATAATATAATAATAGTAATATTTATGTATATAATTATTAATTACTATTATATTATATGTTTTTATCATTATAATATCATTGGTGTTATTATTATAACATGTTAACAATAATTATTTTAATGTAATTTTATTTAATAATACTAATTGTTATTAATTAATAATAATAATTGTTTATTTAATTTTTCTCTGTTAGGTTAGGGAAAAACAATATTTGTACAATATTTGTAAAAACAATCATTGTAAAAATGATGTATCATACTTTAATCATAATAATATTTGTGTGTGTGTGTGTGTGTATAAAATATTTATAGCAATAAATGTGTAAAATAAACTAAATTTTATTTATTTTAGAAATTATAATTTTTTACCATTATTGTTTCATTTTTTTTTCTTTTTTTTTCTAAAGCACATTAAGTTTTCTGATTGGGTGTGGGTTAGTTTATAGTACTAATATTTAGATTATTAGACTTCCTGTGTAATTGTAAACCAAAAGGTTTAAAAACAATACTAAACACAAGTTTTCTGTGAGGGTTATGTTTAGGGGTAGGGTTACTTCAGGGGATAGAAAATCGAAAAATATGCTCCGTATAAAAACTATTACACCTATAATATATATATATAGTCCCCGTAAAGCATATATACAGTGTGTGTGGATACACTACGTTATGGGGACAAAATGTCCCTACAAAGATGGCAATATCCAAAATCCTTGTCCTTGTGGGACATTTTTGGTCCCCATGAGTGCGTGTGTGTGTGCGCGTGAGAATGTGTGTGTGCTCACCGCTGCAGTGGTTCTCTCCCGTATTTCATCAGCAGTCGTATAGCAGTGGGTGCGGTGTAGAACTTAGAGACTCCGTACTTCTCAATGATCTCCCACAGTCTGCCCACATGAGGATACACCGGCACACCTTCAAACTACACACCACATCACACTCATTCAAACTGATGAATCTTAGATCAAATTGACTTCATATATTTGTAAACGACAGTAAAAGCTATGCTGAATTTTGCAGAAACATGTTCACAATTTCCCAGTTTGTGCAAGTAAATATTCTGCATCATATTTCTTACCAGCACGCTGGTGGCGCCGTTGGCTAAAGGGCCGTACGTGATGTAGGAGTGGCCTGTTATCCAGCCAATGTCTGCAGTGCACCAGTAAACGTCATCATGGTGATAATCGAAAACATATTTGAAGGTCAGTGATGTATAGAGCATATATCCAGTGACGGTGTGAAGGACCCCCTGTACAGAAATGAAGGAATGAATACTAGCACACTGCTTAGTGCACACTGTATGTGCAGTATATACTGCATGCTGCCTACTAGGGATGTAACGATTCACTCAACTCACGATTCGATTCGATTCACGATTTTGATTTCACGATTCGATTCAATTCACGATTTTTTATTATTTATTTTTTTTTACAAAATGAGATTTAAGACAAAGAATTGCGATTTGTTTAGCATCTCAACCGATTTGAATCGTCACATATTTGAATCGATTTTCAACCAGCTCGCGGTTAATCGTTACATCCCTACTGCCTACTCTTTTATTAAAAAAAATAGTATGTGAAGCAGTATGTGCTGCTGAAACCTCTCTGAACAATATCATACTAAAATTGTTGTCACATTAATTCATCATGTGGTGTCCAGTTAACATACTGGAAATAAATATTGCCGTTTTGCAATTTTTAGACAATGTTTGATCAAAAATACTTTTACCAATTTTTGGTAAAAATTGTGAAATATTATTACAATTTAAAATAACTGTTTTCTATTGTAATTTATTCCTGTGATCAAAGCTGAATTTTCAGCATCATTACTTCAGGCTTCAGTGTCACATGATCCTTCAGAAATCATTCTAATATGCTGATACGCTGCTCCAGAAACATTTCTGATTATTGTCAATGTTGAAAACAGTTGTGCTGCTTCATATATTTGAGGAAATTTTTTTTTGATTGAATGTAAAGTTAAAAAGAACAGTATTTATATGAAACAGAAGTATTTAGTAAGATTATAAATGTCTTTACTATCACTTTTGATCAATTTAATGCAACCTTGCTGAATATAAATATTAATTTCTTTCAAAAAGAAAAATCATACTGAGCTGAACTTTTGCACATTAGTGTGTGTATGTGCTGTACTGTATATAATACTTCTATATTATATAAATTCTAGGTGCCTTGGGTTTTCCGGTCGAGCCGCTGGTGTAAAGTATGAAGAGAGGATCTTCTGAGTCCATCCACTCCGGTTCACACTCGTCTGACACACCGTCCATCAGATCATCCCACCAAATGTCACATGATTCATCCCACGGGGTCTGGAGCACACACAAAAGAAACAACAGTATGGTCATTAATTTAAGTGCTGGATATAAGAGAATTTAAAATTGGCTCTATTTTATTTTTTTGCTGCTAGAAAACCATCATATACTGTAAGTAGTCCATACAACTTGACCGTTTGACCAACCTGTAGTTTGCTGGAAGCATCAGTGTTTGTTCTGAAGGCATGATGTTTGACCACCACACACTTCTGAACACACGAGGCCATGCTGAGCGAGACAGAGAACACAGTACGTACATAAAATCATATTTAAAAGCAAAAAAATTTCCATATTGACTGTTCTAAGCTCTTATGAGTAAGTGTGAATAATAATAGTAATGTTTTCATCATGGCATTATGTAATTTATTGAGTGATACCATCAAAATTCATAAATGATTAATGTGCCAAATCAACGACATCATCATGCAGTCACATGTTACAAATCCACACCCGTGTTTGCTCTATGATGCGTATGTCTCATTTCACATGTTGCCATGGTGAGTTGAAGCGAATGGTTCCAAACTGTGCTGTTGCTCGGCAACCCCTGACAGTCTGTGATTGGGTGAGTGCTCCGGTGTGTGTGTGTGTGTGTTTGTAATGGACGGGTGAGAGGTTGATGTAAACAGAGGTTCCTCTGATAGCAGAGAGCAGCAGACAGGGACAAACCTCTCCTTACAGCGCTCCACAGCTTCAGACGCAATCTTCTTCAGATTGATCAGCTTGTCACCTCTGTAAACACCATCTGTAGAACACATATACACACACAAACACAGAGAGAGAGAGAGAGCAAAAACACATGAGATGGGAAGACAAAGAGAGGTGAGGAGAAAGATGGACTTTAGGATGATGCACAAGATTTTATCAGTCCTTTAGGAAACAAATGTTTTTATAAGGTTGCAGGTTGCTATAATAAAAATATTATAAAATATATATATATATATATATATTTTATAATATTTTTATTATAGCAACCTGCAACCTTATAAAAACATTTGTTTCCTAAAGGACTGATTTTATATTTTGTTATACATTTTATATTAAATTTTTTAATAAAAAAATATATAAATACATTTCTTTTTTATTTTTCTCCATCCATAAATCTGATTTCACATTTACCTGCACCAAAACGTCACAAAAAAACTTTGGTGCATCATTTTTTTCATGACTGACAGACCTGAATAAGCCACAAAATGTGATTCAGGCTTCACTCAAGCCCAAAGGGTGACTACACAGGATTTCCGGTGTTGTAAACATCACATCACATCACTTGTCACATTATCTTATCACTAACTGTATTTCAAGCTTATCTGTAACAGCTCATTGTGAGCTCATCTACTAAACAACCCCAATAAACATACAGTCAGTCTAAAGATCCAGACCTCCACCTTAATAAAACACTTAGTGTTACCTGCTGTTACCAGGATGTTGCACTGAGCATCCACGATCCTCTCGCACAGAGACTCAGACGAGAAACCTGCAAACTGAATGAGGAAGACAGGAGAGAGTTAAATGCTTTTGCATATGCTCAAGATAAATAATATGGATATCTGAGGTTCCAATACAAATGAATACAATTACAGTTTGGCTGAAATGGTGTCATCAAAATAGAAGACAGTTGGGTAAAATGTGCAAATATTTTACAGTATTACGGGTTTACTTATATATTTTATTTTTATTTTTTTTTTATATATATTAATAGTAGTATATTTAATATATTAATAATATTAATACTATTTTGAATAAAGAAAAACTATTAAAATCTTACCTATATTTTCTGTTCAAATCTTCATTCTCACTTTTTTCGAAATAATTCCCATTATTCATATATTTTGTCATTCATATAAACATATGTAAGGTAATATCCTTCAGAAATCATTCTAATATGCTGATTTGCTGCTTATTAAAAGATTTATTCTTCTTAATATTATCAATGTTGAAAACAGTTGCTGCTTAATATTTTTGTGGAAATATGGATATCTGAGGTTCCAATACAAATGAATACAATTACAGTTTGGCTGAAATGGTGTCATCATCCAAACTTAAAAACAGGCTTTGATATCAGATATAAACTACCCTGGAAAGCACTCGTGTGTTATTTTTAACACCATCTATAACCTTTACATGGTTAAAGAGGCTTGGCGGGCAGAAATAGACTTGGCAGGGTAAATGAGGCTGTACTCATTTCATGCATATTAATGATACCGTGCTAAATACTGACCCGAGTTTAAACTCTCCTTCAGACCATCCTCGACAGATGATAGAGCTTAAAGGTGTAGATCACCTAAAAATTCAAATTTGCTGAAAATGTACTCATCCTTACGTCATCCAAGATGTAGGTGAGTTTGTTTCTTCATCAGATTTGGAGAAATGTAGCATTACATCACTCGCTCAGCAATGGATGCTCTGCAGTGAATGGGTGCCGTCAGAATGAGAGTCCAAACAGCTGATAAAAACATCACAATAATCCACAACACTCCAGTCCATCAGTTAACATCTTGTGAAGCCAAAAGCTGCATGTTTCTAAGAAACAAATCCATCATTAAGACATTCTAATGTCAAACCGTTGCTTCTGACCAACTGATGTCTCTCACATCAAAATCCACCGACATATTTGTTTTGGACTGTTTTGGCTTGTAAATGGTGCTTGATATGTGCATATTTCTCTCCTGAATCAGACAAGATGACTTTTTCACTGGAGAAAACAATATTATGGATTATGGAATTTGTTTTCCACAAACATTCAGCTTTCTGCTTCTCAAGATGTTAACTGATGGAGTGGAGTGGTGTGGATCACTAGTGGATTATTGTGATGTTTTTATCAGCTGTTTGGACTCTCATTCTGACGGCACCCATTCACTGCAGAGGATCCATCGGTGAGCAAGTGATGTAATGCTACATTTCTCCAAATCTGATGAAGAAACAAACTCATCTACATCTTGGATGGCCTGAGAGTGAGTACATTTTCAGCAAATTTGCATTTTCAGGCGAACTATTCCTTTTCAACCCAGAATATTTATTTAATGTAAAACTACTACAGATCTGTAAAGCTGCTCACCACTATCGAGTGAACAGCTCCGATTCTCGCACAGGCCAGCATCGTGTACACCAGCTCTGGAATCATGGGTAAGTAGATGGCGACTCTGTCTCCTTTCTTCACACCTGGATCACAGAAATAAACATCAATGTAAATCTGAAAGCATTAAGAAAAATACTCACGTCAGAGGTTCAGGCTGAACGCACTAACATTGCATTTGCATTCTAGAAAAGCTGAGCAAACTCAAACCCAGAGGAGGAGGATGGTCTTACCCAACAGCTTCAATGCATTGGCACATCGGCACACGTTTCTCAACAGCTGGTTGTAGGTGATGGTCTGGTGATGATCAGGTGAGTTTCCCTCCCTGAAGGAAACATTGATCAATATTAAACCATTAGGAAATAATGGATTCATGGCCTTCATTATGCAATACAGTGTGCTGGCCTCTTGAAGATACTTTAGGCTATTGAACACATTAGGCACATAAATCCAAAATTTAATCTGCATTTCAGATGATTTTGCAATTATTTCCAAAAAGTCTGAGACCGAATGTGGAAAAAAAGCTTCAATTTTGCATTTAATACATCATGACAAATTGTATTATCAGTAATTTGAGTGAAAAGTTGAATGCAGTGTTGTTATTGTTAACTAAACTAAAATCGTCAAAAATAGTTTTCATTAACTGAAAAAAATATGAAATAAAACAAATATTAGATGAAAAACTTACACTTAAAAAGCTCAAATGAAAATGTTGCATTAGCAAATAAATGGAATAAATACGATTACACACTAAAATGACTTTTATAGTCATTTTACTTTTATATATGATATTATTAATATTAATAGTAATACTACAGTACATATAATAATATTATGTATAATGATATTAAGCAAATAGAAATATTAAAAAACAAAGACTAATAAAAATGACAAAAGTGCAAAACCAAATTCCCCAAATTAAATTGAAAACTGAAAATTACCAAATTCCAAAATATTTTAATAATAATTGAATAATATTAATAATTCAATATTAATTCAAAATATTAATAAATGCTAGAATAGTATAAAAAAAAAATTTAACATTTGAACAAATACATGATTTAACATGTATTAATAGTAATATTATATATAACATTGCTATGTATGATGATATTAAACAAATATAAATATTAAAAACAAAAACTAATAAAAATGACGTGCAAAACAAAGTTCCTAAAATCAAAGTGAAAACTGAAAATGTAAAAATTAAAAATATTATAATAAAAATTTAATAAAAATAATAATAATTCAATAATATTAATAAGTGCTATAATAGTATATAAGGAATACTAAAATAGTACTGTTTGGAGAAAAAAAAAATATTTTAACATGTATGACAATATCTCACACTTTTTCTTTAACAATAGCATTATTTTGCTCCAAAAAGCATCTTGTGCTTTAATGGAAACAAATAAAAAATAAATAAAAAATTCTGTTTGAATGAGTGACATGAGCAGCGACACTCATTTACTCACATCTGAATTGTCATTTAGAAATAATGCAGAATGTGAAACAATTCGTCTTTGGTTTACGCCATAATATTCATTTGTTGTCTCAAATCCTAAAACTGTTTATTCCCACAGTGAATTTAGACTTTGATTGTCAGTGTGGTCTCAGACTTTTGGACCCCACTGTACGCGTCTCATTTTTACAGGAATAGGGCTGTACTTTGGCTCTGCTGCCTGCATTAGATTTGGACTTCCGTCAGCTGTGCGTTTGGCCAGTGGGCTTCACTTATTGCACAAGTCAATTAAATAGATTGTAATATGGCAACATGCCTTGTTAAACCGCACTTTAAACTTAGAATTTCACATTTTCTGAAGACAATGTGCTTTTTTGTGCAAGGGTTGCTGCTTTTACGTTAGTAGCGATGTGCAAATTCATGCAACACAGGGAACATCGTGACAACGCAAATCACCATGAAAGCTCTCTGCTCGGTTTACTGTGCATCTGCACCTGGCCGTCCAAAAAAGGAAAGACCATGATGGACTGCTGACAGGACGAACAGTTTTTAAGCAAAGCGACCCCTTAGGTATGAATGGATGGCAGCGTAAAGAATAGACGCTGATCTCTGAGGTTGCACATTGCATCATATTTTGTGTATATGTTTGAGGATATGTATTGCCCATATTGCTTTTACGAGCCTGTGTGAACTCCTGTGTCCTCCATTAGCACTTGATGCTTAATGCCTAACTGAAGTGTCGCCTCAGCATGGTTCACATGCTTCAGTTCTTGGCATCTGTTAGGAGACTCTCTGCCAAAACTACCTCATGTGTATAATATAAATTATATGAATATAAATATATACATGTAAATATTTTCGAAATATATGCTGTATGTGTGTGTCTTTATATATACATAATAATATACACAGTACACAACATGCTTCAGTTCTTGGCATCTGTTAGGAGACTCTCTGCCAAAACTACCTCATGTAACGTGCCAGAGAAAGACCGTCTAGACTATAGACTGTAAGAACTACAGCCGCAGGAATCTGTCCTCATAACACGCTTCTGTTCACCCATGCAAACCTGTTCATCTGGTATTATTAAAATGTTTTGATTTAGATTGCCGCAGTTATTTGCCTATTGACCCAAAATCTTAATATAGAAAAACTAAATTATATTTTGCTTAAATAATAATGCTTAAATTGCTTAAACAATTACATATATAACGTATACATACAAAGATGCGATTAATCGCGATTAATCGTTTGACAGCACTAATACAAATTTAAGGTGAAAAGAGCTTAATTGCCATTAAAACAATCATAATAATGTTAATGCTCATAGAAATATGTGTTATTTTAATATATGCACTATACAAATTTTTTTCCTTTACAAATTTGGGGTGAAATATGACCTGGATAAGTTTTTGTGAGATGGTAGTGTTAAATGGTAATGTAAAACAGGTGATTTATATATGACTTGAGTGGTTCTGTATATAACAGCAGTTACATGACACCCCTTGTTCCACATGACTATTAATACTTCAGCGCATAGCTAACATGACAACAATGATTATTCTGAGTGTTGCTGAAACATGTCACCTGTATACAGTGTGACATCAAGCGAAAATTGTATCACTTTGATTAAATACTGGAAAGAGTCATAGGGATGTTCCTGAGAAGTTATTAGGAATTAACATTCGGATGACTTCTCATGTGACATTCATGCAGTTCTTACAGGAACCATCTTATTACTCTTTATCGTATGTAATCAAGGTGTTATGTGATAGCTGATGTCAAATGCAGGTAACATGGTTCAATAAGACTCATAATAATCATTGTGCCCTGCCATGTTTGTCTAGAAGAACAGGAGCTCTTGCCGAGCCCTACAAGTAAATACTTACAAAATCATATTCTCAACATTAAAAGTACGGACTGAACCTTGCAAAAATGCATTAACTCGAAACAATTTAGACTCTAAATTAAAATGATTATTTAATTATATTAAATTATATATAATTATAATTTAATGTATTTATGACCATGTTGCAACCTATAATTACTTTAATGTAAGTATAATATTAATATTACTATATATAATAATAGTATTAAACAAGTACACATATTTAAAAAATGCATAAAAGCGCATAACAAAATTACTAAAACTTAAAGTAAACACTGGTTGAAATAAAAGCCCCCCCCCCCATATTTTAAATACATGTTTTAACATATATTTCAGAATGTCTCTGCATTTGTCACTCTTTTTTTTGACAACATAATTTATTTTAATAAAACATTCTTTAGTGAGCTTGTGGAGAAACACATGCCAACAAGTGCTGCTCTTTTGCTTTGACTTTGACACAAGCAGCAGGCCTCAAATGCATCAACTATTAAATCAGATCAAGCATGCATTGTGTGCACAGAGGTCTCTGTGCATCATTGTATAACACTGAGAACATGTTAGATTACCAGTAGTAAGCCACTTTCTCTCCCAGGTTCCTCTCATGCACATTTCGGTCAAGGACGTTGTAGCAGATGTTGGTTTTTGCTCCCTCCATAAACTTGATGTAAATGTTCCCCTTGTTGACGTCAAAGTTATACTGCAGCATCTGGCCTGACGGAGGCTTCTTCCAGTAAAACTCTTGAGCAACATCAGCCCAGAACTCTGCAATGCATGGTAAATCAACACTTTTACTGCATTATCTTACATTGGAGTGTCCCTCTCATTTATATGCATGCACAATTTTATGATACCTTCAGGCTCTTCTGTAGACTTTTTGTATAAAGCAAGATATGCATCAAAGTCTGGCACGTGTGCATCAGTGAACAGGCCATCGGATGGATGGTAAGTCTTCTCCTCCGGCTCCTGAGGTCCTGGAACGACCCTGTTGGTGGAGACTGAAACTGGAGACATTTCTCAATCCTTAAAATCTGTGTCAAGATAGATGTCAGTCTGGAGATGAAGCAGATTATTGTGGCTGTGCATGTGGTGGCCACCCTTTAATCATGCCCAGTCTGCTCAGCACCGCCTACACCAATCAGAGCGCTCCATTCAGCACTCCTACTTTTCCATTGGCTGAGCGGCTGCTCGGCTGCTGATCCCACTGCAGAGGGAGGCGCAGCACGAGTCTGACGGATGATCTGCATGTTTTATGAAACACACACACATAAGGTTTATTTGGCTGTCATAATGAGGACATATCATTGACTTCATATAAGGCTAGTTGTAATGACAACAAACTAACACACACACTAACCCTACAAGAAGACAGGGTTAGTGAAAAAAAGTGATTTACTCTTGAATAACTTTTACCGTTTTAATTGAATAAATGAAAATAAGTAAATAAATCAATAACAATAATAATAAACACACTAACCCTAAATGAAGCCTTTTTGCATTTTTTTGAATAAAAGAAGTTATTAACTTGTGAAAATTTGTTACAATTATAATCAAAAACATTAAAATAAAAAATAATTATGATAATAGTAACAGTAGTCATGACAACAAGCTAACATACACACTAACCCTAAAAGAAAAGGTTTTGCATTTTTAAAGTAAAAACATTTACTTATGAATAACGTTTAAATTTTGATGTAATAATAAGAATGACAACAAACTAACACACATTAACCCTAAAGCTTTTTCATTTTTCTATTTTTTTACAGTATATTTTATGTATTGTAATATTTTTTTTAATTATAAGTCTTCTCCTCCGGCTCCTGAGGTCCTGGAACGACCCTGTTGGTGGAGACTGAAACTGGAGACATTTCTCAATCCTTAAAATCTGTGTCAAGATAGATGTCAGTCTGGAGATGAAGCAGATTATTGTGGCTGTGCATGTGGTGGCCACCCTTTAATCATGCCCAGTCTGCTCAGCACCGCCTACACCAATCAGAGCGCTCCATTCAGCACTCCTACTTTTCCATTGGCTGAGCGGCTGCTCGGCTGCTGATCCCACTGCAGAGGGAGGCGCAGCACGAGTCTGACGGATGATCTGCATGTTTTATGAAACACACACACATAAGGTTTATTTGGCTGTCATAATGAGGACATATCATTGACTTCATATAAGGCTAGTTGTAATGACAACAAACTAACACACACACTAACCCTACAAGAAGACAGGGTTAGTGAAAAAAAGTGATTTACTCTTGAATAACTTTTACCGTTTTAATTGAATAAATGAAAATAAGTAAATAAATCAATAACAATAATAATAAACACACTAACCCTAAATGAAGCCTTTTTGCATTTTTTTGAATAAAAGAAGTTATTAACTTGTGAAAATTTGTTACAATTATAATCAAAAACATTAAAATAAAAAATAATTATGATAATAGTAACAGTAGTCATGACAACAAGCTAACATACACACTAACCCTAAAAGAAAAGGTTTTGCATTTTTAAAGTAAAAACATTTACTTATGAATAACGTTTAAATTTTGATGTAATAATAAGAATGACAACAAACTAACATACATTAACCCTAAAGCTTTTTCATTTTTCTATTTTTTTACAGTATATTTTATGTATTGTAATATTTTTTTTTAATTATAATTGAAGAAATTAAAGAAAAATACTTATTGATTGACATTAATCAATAAATAAGCAGAGAATGACCCACTAACCCTAAAAAAAATTTTTTTTTTTTGAATTTTTACAATAAAAATGTGTTATATATAAATAATTTTTACAATTATAATTCAAGAAATTAAAGAACATAAATAACGATGACACCAAACGAACACACTCTAACTATGAAAAACCTTAGATATAGATAGCTAGTCAATTTATATATTCATTTGAAATATTTTGTCAATATATTATCATTGCTCTTTTGTTGATTTTGATTGCTTCCATTGTCTTCATTTGTAAGTCGCAAAGCGTCTGCTAAATGACTAAATGTAAATAAACCGCAAATGTTAAGCAGAACAATACTGGCTCACATTTTAGTAACAGTCTTGCATTACAACCCGGTTTAGCATTTAAGCTCAAGTTCTACAAGTGTGCAGCATGCTGATTGTCTGTGTTATTTTTATCATGGCATGTCAAGAACACAACGTGTGCATCTGTTCGTTTGCCGCTCGGTGATCCATTATTTAGACTCTTTGAGCGTGCGTCCCTTGCGTAACCAGACCCGCTCAATCGAGCTCGCAATACTTGATGTCCGCCGTTGCTTGTGTTTAGTGTGACCGAGCACATTGAAAAGATGTTTTTATCTTCAACTCTGCGCTCTGCCGTGTCTTATGCGGTAGGTTTATTTTATATATGTTGTAATCGGATTATTCATGAGGTGGTTGAAGAAATTGCATATGAATCATCATTTAAAGCGGCGTTGACATCTGTGCAAGGACATGAAGCTACTGCGCTAACAGCTAACAATGAGGCCTGGTTGTGTTTATATGTCATTAAAATATGAATGAAACATTTTGTGTTTATTAGACACTCTTTAAAACCGTGATGTGTTACCAAACATTTTTATTTTTTTTAGAAGTTGTTTCTATTCACCCAGACAGGTTGAGTAATCAGTAAATAAACCTGAATCAGTAAATAAGTTAATTATATGTATGTCTTTCTATTGCAGTGACTAATACAATACACACTGTAATAACTAAACAGAAACGTTATAGAGCACTGCATACTTAGTGCACAAAATATTATATTGCATATTTGGTCAGTACATACAATATACAAAAAGGATGTATTGGTTTAGCAGTTTGCAAAAAAGAAAAAAATTTAGTTGTTTGCTTTCTATTCTACTTTACACTTGTTGCATTTCTTCTGCAGGTGAGGCAGGTCCGCAGTTTGCACCAGACATCGGCTCGAGCTGGAGCTGGAGGAATCTTTGTGGTGAGACTTGACTTTCATATGTTTATTGCAGTCTTTGTAATGATGTGCACATGAGATGCTTAATATTCAGTAATATCATCAGTGTGAACAAAACTGAATCAAATTGAGCTAAATAATTACACTATTGTCTTATGTAGAGTTGCTTTATTGCTGAATTCGTTTCATAATTGAGCTGAATTCCAACACTATTGACTTTTTATAGTTGAGTTAAGCTTGTTTTATAATTTGATGAACTTTACACAGTTATTGAACTGAAATGAATCAATGCTGATAATGACACTCATATTTTTATCTATTGTTGAAGAACTATGCAACTAATACTGTTTTTTTTAATACTCTAAAGCTGCAATAAAGCAATCTGTGTTGTATTGTAAAAAACCAGGAGGACGCACTATTATAAGAATTTGTTGAGATAGTGTATTGGTGGGTTTTTGTTAAATGTGAGCCAAAATCATCACAATTAAAAGAACCAAAGACTTAAACTATTTCAGTCTGTGTGCATTGAATTTATTTAATACACGAGTTTCACAATTTGAGTTGAATTACTGAAATAAATGAACTTTTCCACGACATTCTAATTTATTGAGATGCACCTGTATTTGTTTTGCTCTGTTTTCATTATTCCAGCACAGAGACACACCGGACAACAACCCAGAGACTCCATTTGAATTCAGCCCAGAGAACATGAAGGTGAGGGAAATCTCACCACTCATCATTTACATTTTTGATATCATAATATGGAATCATATTTAAGGCATTTTTGCTGCCATTGTGATATTTTATAACTATTCCACAGGTAAGATCAAATATGTCTTGCTGTGTTCAGATATGTTGAATAAAGATTATAGCTGTGTGGTTATTGTATAATGTGTTTGGCTACAGAGAGTTGAGGCCATCATGAATAATTACCCAGAGGGACACAAGGCGGGCGCCACTATTCCTGTGCTGGATGTGGCTCAGAGGCAGCACGGATGGCTTCCTATTTCAGCAATGAACAGGGTGAGAGCTTCTAAAGACATGCACCAAAGCTTTTTTTGATTGATAAATAATAATGAGTTCCCACAATCACTTAAAAACCTGGAACTCTTAGTGATTATTTAATAGTGTATATACGTTTATTGTTATTCCATTAGATATGAGCGGTGTTATTTTAGGGTCATTGATATACTATTAGAATCAGAATCCGAAAGAACTTTATTGCCAAGTGTGCTTACATGCACACACACAAGGAATTTGTCTTGGTGACAGAAGCTTCCAGATGACAAGTGACAAGACACAGATAAAACAAAAACAAGTGATATTAAAAATAAATATGTAAAAACAATACGCAATAGACAAAAAGACAAGAGCCGATATATTGTATGGACAGATGTATACAAATTATGCAAGGGACTGTGGATAGATAATTAAATCAATAACACATGTATAATAAACATAAGTATGGAATTATAAGTATAGTTTGTTAATGTTTTGAATCAGATTTTATTTGTGACCCTGGAGCACAAAAGCAGTCTTAAGTCGCTGGGGTATATTTGTAGCAATAGCCAACAATATATTGTATGGGTCAAAATGATCGATTTTTCTTTTATGCCAAAAATCATTAGGATGTTAAGTAAAGATCATGTTCCATGAAGATATTTAGTAAATTTCCTACTGTAAATATATCAAAACTTAATTTTTGATTAGTAATATGCATTGCTAAGGACTTCATTTGGACAACTTTAAAGGTGATTTTCTCAATATTTAGATTTTTTTGCACCCTCAGATTCCAGATTTTCAAATAGTTGTATCTCGACCAAATATTTTCCTATCCTAACAAACCATACATCAATGGAAAGCTTATTTATTCAGCTTTCATATGATGTATAAATCTCAGTTTTGGAAAATTGACACTTAAGACTGGTTTTGTGGTCCCTGGTCACATTTTTGTATTTTCTATTTTTACTTGAACTTTTAAAGATTTAGTAATTTTTTTAAATTCATTTTTATTAGTTTTTGTTTTTCTAAATCTATAGATTTTATTCATTTTTATTTATTAGTTTAAGTTCTTTTGGTTTCAGCAAAATGAAAATGAGAAATGTTGCATTGGCAACTAGCTGAAATAAAATATATATATATTAAAAATATTTTATTTCAGGTAATGTTTATTTTATTTAAAATAATGTATTTCAAGTTTATTTATTTATTTAGTTTTTGTTAGCTGTAATAACCCTGAGTGCAGTCAGTCTCGGTTTAATTATTTATTTTTTAAATGTATCCAGTATGGACAGTCATGGAAATTAATTGGTCAAAATTGTGTGGAA